TATAGGTCGGTACCCTCCCTGCCTCCTTCCCTCCCTCCTCCCTCCTCCTCTCTCCTTCTCATCTTCTAGCCTTCCTTCCCGCCCATTCCTCCGTCCTCCTTCCAACCCTCCCTCCCTTCCTTCTCCCACCCTCCTCACCTCTCCCCTCCTTCTTTCTCCCCCACCCTCCCACCTCTCACCTCTTTCTCCACCTCCCTCACCTCTCCTCCTTCTTTTCTCTCTCCCCACCTCCCACCTCCTCTTTTCTCCCCCACCTCCTCTCACCCACTCCTCCGTCCGTCCGTTGTCTCCTGAGCGGCCAGAGAAATGTCACAGTCAATCTATCATTACGGAGACCCACCCCATCATCAAGGCCAGGCTGCACCTTCACCAGTCATATGCAATTCCCACTCGATTACATCCTAGGCCGGGGTGTGTTAGTGGCCCCTGAGCTCTCCTGTGATGTGAGAACGGGTCTAACTGGTGATGTGTGTAACTGGTGATGTGAGAACGGGTCTAACTGGTGTTGTAACTGGTGATGTGAGAACGGGTCTAACTGGTGTTGTGTGTAACTGGTGATGAGAACGGTCTAACTGGTGATGTGTGTAACTGGTGATGTGAGAACAGGTCTAACTGGTGTTGTGTAACTGGTGATGTGAGAACGGGTCTAACTGGTGATGTATGTAACTGGTGATGGAACGGTCTAACTGGTGTTGTGTAACTGGTGATGTGAGAACGGGTCTAACTGGTGTTGTGTGTAACTGGTGATGTGAGAACGGGTCTAACTGGTGATGTGTGTAACTGGTGATGTGAGATGTGTGTAGCTGGTGATGTGCAAACGTATCTAACTCTCTAACAGGTATACTTACGTTACTACAATACACAGATGGCAATTCAAAATGTCTTCAATATTACACTAAGACTCAACTTTACTGGAGGTGTTCTCGTTAACACTATGAGGAGACTATGTTGAGAGTCTTAGATAATTTGAGGTCATAGTCTTGTTTATCTTAGACTGATTAGATGGTAAGACTCACTGACTATAGTTCTTGTTGTGGTAGTCAAAAGGGTAGTGGCAGAAGGGTAGTGGCAAAGGGGTAGTGGTTGAGGGGTAGTGGCTAAGGGGCACTAAGGGTAGTGGCTAAGGGTAGTGGCTAGGGGTAGTGGCTAAGGGGTAGCTAGGAGTAGTGGGTAAGGGTGTGTGGCTAAGGGGTAGGGTTGAGGGTAGTGGCTGGACAAGGGGTAGTGGCTAAGGGTGTGTATGGGGTAGTGTGGCTAGAGTTGTGGTGAGCTAGGGATAGTGGCTAGGAGTACTGGTGAGCTAGGGATAGTGGCTAGGAGTACTGGTGAGCTAGGTATAGTGGCTAGAGTACTGGTGAGCTAGGGATAGTGGCTAGGAGTACTGTGAGCTAGGGATAGTGGCTAGGAGTACTGGTGAGCTAGGATAGTGGCTATAGAGTACTGGTGAGCTAAGGATAGTGGCTAGGAGTACTGGTGAGCTAGGGATAGTGGCTAGGAGTACTGGTGAGCTAGGGATAGTGGCTAGGATACTGGTGAGCTAGGGATAGGTGGTATACTGGTGAGCTAGGATAGTGGCTAGGAGTTGTGGTGAGCTAGGGATAGTGGCTAGGAGTACTGGTGAGCTAGGGATAGTGGCTAGGAGTACTGGTGAGCTAGGGATAGTGGCTAGGAGTACTGGTGAGCTAGGGATAGTAGCTAGGAGTACTGGTGAGCTACGGATAGTGGCTAGGAGTACTGGCAAAATATGGTACTTAGCTAAAGACAGTGTATTATAGATTAATAGGCCAATTAAGGATAGCAACAACGCCTAAGGGACGGTAGCGAAGGATAGGTCGGCTTGGTATGGGTTAAAGTGACCTGTCTGTCTGTCTATCCCCGAGAGGAGGACGAGGATAGGGGCCAGCCAGCACTAGCCATCAGCACCATACTCAAGTTTAATTAGTTTAATTATTGGTGCGTCAGCGTGGCCCGTGTCAGCCAGGGGGATGGGGGGGGAGGGGTATAGCTGACATACTCTCCCCCTCCCTTCCCCTGCTCCTCCTCCTTCTCCCTCCCCCACTCTTCCCCCCCTCCTCCTCCTCCTCTCTCTTCCCTGAGGGTTTTATGTGGCAGAATTCGTATCTCATCATATCTGGTGAGGGAGGAGGAGGAGGAAGGAAGGAGGAGGAGGAGGAGGAGGAGGAGGAGGAGGAGGAGGAGGAGGAGGAAGGGGGAAGAAGAGGAAGAGATAGGAGGGATAAGAGGAAGAAAATAGACGAACAAGAGGAAGAAATGGAAAGAAGAAGAGGAGGATAAAGTAAAACCTAACCTAACCTAACCAAAAAATACACACATAAATACACACAAAGGCGCATACACACATATATAAACACACATACACGCAGGCTATATAAACACACACACACACACACACACTGTAATACATCTTAACCTGTATATGATCATTTAAAATACAAAAACAATATTGTGTATTCAGTTTGTATGAGTACAAATTATCTGAGTACAATTGGCGCGGTTTTAGTACAAGAAATTCCATACGAAGATTTTTAGGTTCGTTGTACTCTGGATCGGGGAGGGAGATACAGGGGGGGTCCTCATTGTAACTGATGTACTGGAGGGGATGTACTCAAAATTGTATGTATGACTGTACTCAAGGTAAATAAATCATCGTCCTCAAGATTTATGAGTTCGCACTACAGGTTTATATATTCGTACTCAGGGTTTGAACATGTACTCAAGGTATAGAGAGCTGTACTCAAGATCTAAATTCGTACTCAAAATATCAATCCATACTCAACAAGGTTCACCGTCCTCAGGTATGTCACACTCAAGGCACCAATTCACACTTAATGCACCAGGTCGTCCTTGATCTATGAAGTATGAACAGTGCCACGTCCAAGTAGTACTCACAGGATCAGTGCCACGTGTGTTAGGATAATCCATCTATTTATATGCAAATTGTTAGTCCCTTAAATTGGCCCTGACGGTATACTAAACACCAATTACAAAAAAATATGTTGGAATGCTTTGGAATATCTTGGAATGTATTGGAATGCCTTCTTGCAATATTTTGGAATACCTTTGAATATCTGGGAATAATTGGGAATATCTTGCAAGAAACTGTAGGTCATTACCTGTATAAAAGATATGTCTACACTCAGAGGTCACGGTGTACTACGTAATGACCTTGACCTCTGACCTCTAAATCAAAACTCGGTTCAGGTATAGAACACGACCTGTGTGACGAGTTGGGCGACGAGAGCTCAGCCGTTTGTTGGCTGTTGTGTTGACTGACGAGACAAATCGATTGACAGACAGACAGACAGACAGACAGACAGACACGTCGCTCTACACCAGCACGTGCTCAGACCCGCCTCACCTGAGGTTAATATTTTAATATTTTCTTGAAAAGATATTGTGTATATATATATATATATATATATATATATATATATATATATATATATATATATATATATACTGTGTACGGTAGTTTCTTGACGAGTCATGTCGATGACGTCATTTAACAAATACTAACAAATTATTACACTTATTACACATATTAAGTAAAGTTACGACCTTTTATTAGTAGCGTAGCTCAGTGCGTAAGATACTTTGGCGTAAATTATGTAATTTGGGTCCATGACGTCGCCTTCGTGCGTTCGTGGGTACAGTCACTCACTATGACACTCGAGCATAAATTGACGTAATCTACGCCAACATCCAGGTGCGTTTTACAGACCAGCGTAACTCAGTGCGTAAGTTACATGGGCGCGTATCTCATAATTTACGCTTAGTGTCACGTTCACCTGACTAGAGGAAGAAGGTCACTCAGCGCTTGAGACACGCACGTACGTTTGTGGCCTGTAATATACGCCTCTTGTGCACGTTAAATCCGTAATCTACATCTCACGTATGCGTAGATCCGCACTCTACCCCCCCAAGCACTGTTAAATACAACACCATAACCTACGCCTCACCTTTGCACACACCTGTAATTTATAGACCACACCTGAGTATATTAATTCCTAATCTGTAACATACGCCTCTTCACTAACAGGTAAATATTCCCCTTGAACTCATAATTAATGCGTACTATTCCGTAATCTTCGCGACATACGCAACATTAATTCATTTACAATTTACGTAATTTTTAAATCTGTATAATCTAACAGTCCCGTGAGGGGTGGAGAGGAGGGGTAGAATAGGAGGGTGTAGGAGGTAGGGGGAAGAGGCAGGGATAGTGTGTTAGAGGGATAGGGAGTAAAGACAGGAGGGGGAGGGACGGGTGGATGGAGAGGGGGGCTAGTTGTTGACAGTATTCGTTAGGATAGATCAACGTGACGGGAACTGTATGTGACAGGTGTGCATAGGGTGATAGACAGGAGGAGGAGGAGGAGGACAAGGAGCAGGAGGAGGAGGTGTGTGCCTGCGTAGTGTCTGCGTATGATAACAATAACAACGCCACCACTAATAACACAACAACAACAACAACAACCACCATTACAATCAACTCTGTGTACTTACTTCTGATCCATGGATACGAGAGAGAGATCCAGCTTGTGTTTCGACTTGTACATGACTTCCTTCTGAGGGAGTTCCAGCAGGGAGGGAGGACCGAAGGGGGTGCACACAGCAAATAGAGCCAGGGGCGCCTCCTCAGTCTTCCTGTTCTGCCCGTGGAGCACCTTGATCTTACCCCGTACATCCAGCCGCTGTAGGTGGATAAGTGGATGAGTGGGGGTGGATAGGTGGAGGATGGATTGGTGATTGAGTGAGGGTGGATGAGTGGAGGTGGAGTGGATGGTGGGGTGGATGAGTGGAGGTGGATAGGTGGATGAATAGGGGGTGGATGGATTGGTGATTTAGTGAGGGTGGATGAGTGGGGGTGGATAGGTGGAGGATGGATTGGTGATTGAGTGAGGGTGGATGAGTGGGGGTTGATAGTTGAATGACTACTAAAGGGTGGATGAGTGAGTATGGATGTGTGGGGGTGGTTGGGTGAGCAGGGGTGAGGGTAGATGGATGGATGAGTAAAATAGGTGGATAAATAGGAGTTAATAAAAACGTGAGAAAAAGGGGAAATAGGAAGAAATGAGATGATAAATAGGAAGATAGAGTAAGGATGAGGAGGAGAAGAGAAAGAAAGAAGTAAAGGAAGAAGAATAAGAGAAAGAAGAAGCAGAGGAAGAAGAAAAGAAAAGAACAGATAAATAAACAAGAAAAGACGAAGGAGGGAGATGGAACATAAATGAAAGAAGAAGAACAAGAACAAAAACAAGACGAGCATTAAATAACACACACACACACACACACACACACACACACACACACACACACACACACAGAGCTAGTCATAATCACAAAAGAAAATAAGTTTACTGGATTATCAATGTAAATATATCATGTGAAGTCTGTCTGTCTGTCTGTCTCTCTGTCTATCTGTCTGCCTGTCTGTCTCTCTGTCTATCTGTCTGCCTGTCTGTCTTCTGTCTCTTTAACTGAATATTTTCTTCTTGGCGACGTTATAACTTATCCCTTCGTGAATAAGTAATGATACTAAATCGAATCTTCCATCTTGTAAAAAAAAATAAATAAATAAATGCAGGAAATTATTGTATACCACTGACCGACATTTAGGAAGTGTCAGAATTTTTCACGGGATTTTAACATCAAACTTGACTGAATTTTAACATTGGATTTGATTTTATTAGAACAGTTTTTTCTTTTTGTCTGTCTGTCTGTCTGTCTGTCTGTCTGTCTGTCTGTCTGTCTGTCTGTCTCATGGGTATAAAAGAGAGAGGAAAAGAAATAAGAGAGAAAGACTAGAGGTAGAGGAAGGAATAAGATAGAGAAACAAGGAATATGCTAAGAGAAAATACAAGAGAGAGAGAGAGAGAGAGAGAGAGAGAGAGAGAGAGAGAGAGAGAGAGAGAGGACTCAGTCAGGCACACACGCAAAGTATCGATAATATGTGAGTCTGACCCATAATGCTCTTGCCATAGTGTGTGTGTGTGTGTGTGTGTGTGTGTGTGTGTGTGTGTGTGTGTCCTCCTCACTCTACTCCCTTCATCCCCCCCTTCCTCCTCCTTCCTTTCCTCCTTTCCTCACTCCTTCCCCTTCTCTCTCTCTCCTGTAAGTGTCGCCAAGTCATGCTAAGTTGAATGTATACAAGGAAACTCACTCACTCACTCACTCACTCACTCACTCACTCACTCACTCACACAGTTTACTCATCCTCTCGTGCCAGTGATGATGATGATGATGATGATGATGATGATGATGATGATGACGTCAGAGTTAGATGTTATTTTACAACATTTTCCTACTATAGGGAAGGAAAGGTGGTAGTTGTGGTGATGATGGTGGTTGTTTGATGGTGGTGGTGGTGGTAGTTAATGGTGATGTGATTGATAGTGATGGTAGTTGTGGTGATGATGGTGGTTGTTTGATGGTGGTGGTGGTGGTAGTTAATGGTGATGTGATTGATAGTGATGGTAGTTGTGGTGATGATGGTGGTTGTTTGATGATGGTGGTGGTGGTAGTTAATGGTGATGTGATTGATAGTGATGGTAGTTGTGGTGATGATGGTGGTTGTTTGATGGTGGTGGTTGTTTGATGATGGTGGTGGATGTTTGATGGTGGTGGTTGATGATAGTGATTAGTGATTGGTGGTGGTGATTGGGTGATACTGGGGGATTGGTTTGTCATCAGTCCCCATTTCCCTACCATAAAATTTCACCCCATCATGTCAGACACCATATATCCTCCCCAACTCTGCTACCACTATACTCCCCACGACTACCACCTCCCCAGCTAGTGGTAGACACACACACACTCCCCAGGACGTGATAGGGAGAGAGCCTCGTGGTTGCAGGGAGGACAGACCCGCTGCTTCATCCATCAAGAGGTAAATTATAGACACACGCTCAGATTTTTCTGCCTGGCGATAAAAGACAAATTCATAAAGCAACGATTTCATGGTTGGCAAAATGATTAAGTGAGAAATTGTCGTAAGTTTGTCTCGTGTGTGGTGGGTGGGTGGGTGGGTGGGTGTGGGTGGGTGGGTGTGGGTGGGTATGTGGGTGGGTGGGTGGGTGGGTGTGGGTGTGTGGGGTGTGGGTGGGTGGGTGGGTGGTGGGTGTGGGTGGGTGGGTGGGTGGGTGGGTGGGTGGGTGGTGTGGGTAGGTGTGTGGGTGGGTGGGTGGTTAAGGGTGAAATGGGAGTATGGATGCATATATATATATACTTTTTGTTTATTAATAGTTTCCTGTGAATAATATGAGAGTGTATCATAATGGTATATATAACCTGAGGCGCCTATAGCCCTGTGTACCACCCACCCCCCACCACCCTCCCCCACCACCTCCCTATAGTAAAGTATGGTTAAACGCCTCTTTCTCCAGGCTCTTGTAGTTAGTTGGTCCTCCTCCTACAACACCCCACCTCTCCCCCACCACCCCCCTCTCCACCACCCCACCTCCCCCTCCCTCCACCACCCCCACCTCTCCCCCTCCCCCACCACTCCCCTCTTTGTGTTATCAATATTAGACAGTTTCCCTCGCTATAAATTTTAGATCAGCTCGTCAGGACATATTCTTTTGGGGCCAAAATCCCAAATCTATTTTGGAGTGAAAGACCCACGTCTGCCCAACCCCTGGCCCTCCTAGCCCTTACCTGGCCCTCTCCTTGGTCCTTCCCTGGCCCACACCCAAGCCTGCTCTCTCACCATTTCCTGGCCATCTCCTGGCCAGCTTCCTGGTCTCCCTGGCCTGCCACTTCACCCACACTATGCCTCCCCAGCCCTTCACCCACCTCCCTTTACTCCCTATAGTTATAGAGTGACGTGTAGGGGGCAAATTGTGGAGGCAAGTAGGGGGTAACAACACGTACTCAACACAGGTGACAATGATGAGCTGAGGGAGGGAGGGGGGAGGGAAAAGGAAGAGGAGGGAGAAAGAGGGAGATGAGGGAGAAAAAAAGGAGGGGGGCGGATGTCCCCATGAACACATATCTCCCTTTATTCGCCAGGTGAGACAACGTGGGCGTTCCGAGGTGGCCGAGAAAATTAGGTAACCGTATGGGTGGGGTGTGGTGGGGGGGGTGGTGGGTGGGGGGGGGGGGTGGTGGGGGGTGTGGTGGTGGGGTGTAGAGAGAGAGAGAGAGGGAGAGAGGTGGCTAATGATGTGGTTATGTAGATCTCAATATCTGTCAAATAGAAAAATAAGATAGTGTTACACAGACTACACCCTCCCTCATAGAACACCCCAAAGTAGGTGTTACACAGACTACACCCTCCCTCATAGAACACCCCAAAGTAGGTGTTACACAGACTACACCCTCCCTCTTTCTTCTATTTCAACCATTTATTTTTCCCCCATTTAACTAAGTACTTCCTATCTCACGTAATTAGGTAAGAGAGCTTCCTTTCTCGCCCCTTACTAAGGCAAGACACCTCCCCCCTCCCCCCTTCCTCCTTCACCTCACCTCACACTAAGGCAAGACACCTCCCACCTCCTTCCTCCTTCACCTCACCCCACACATAAGCAAGACACCTCCCCTCCCCCTCCTCCTTCACCTCACCCCACACTAAGGCAAGACACCCTCCCCCTCCTCCTTCCTCCCACCACCAAGATACCTCACCTCCTTCACCTCACACAATTAAGCAGTACACACCTCCCACCTCCCCCCCTTCATATAATGACTAATTACCTAAGTACAAACCACCTGTGTACCTGTGATCACTACATCCAGGTGTGTCAATTATCGCAGTCAACAGGTGAGTTAATTTGAGATAGGTGGGAGGGGAGAGGAAGGGGAGGTAGGGGAGGAGGAGGAGGAGGGGGGAGATAGGACGTTAGATGATACTCCACCCCCTCCCCCCCTTTCAGATAGTTAAAATTGCCCCACTTCCTTCTCTCTCCTTTCCTCCTCCTCCTCCCTCTTATTCTATTATATCATCCCTCTTCTTCCATTCCTCCTTTCTATTCCCCCTCTTCCCTCCATCCTCATTCTACCTGTTCCTCCTCCTTCATCGTCTTTCCTTTCCATCCTCCTTCCTCCTCCTCCTTCCTTCACTGAATGTGTTAAAGGAGGAAACTGATAAGACAGAGAAGAGGGAGAATGGAGAGAGAACCGAAAAACAGGAAGAGGATAAGAGGAGGATAGAATAAAGAGGATAAAAAGGAGGATAAAAGAGGAATGGATAAGAGATGGAAAAATAAACAGAGAAGAATGGCGTTACGGAGAAGGGGTAAGGAGAGGGAAGAGAGGAGAGGGGAGGGAAGAGGAAGGAAGGAAGGAAGGAGTTGGAGGAGGAAGAGAGAGGAAGGTGAAGAGAAGGGAAGAGGCAGGAAGACAAGGGAATGGTAGGGGAGGGGAGAAGGGGGTAGTGGGTAAGGGGTAGGGAATGGGTGGCTTGGTGGGGGGGGAGAATATGCAAATGATGGTAAAGAGAAGAGAGAAAAATATTACAACTGGAACATATTGTAGAGAACCTGTCTGTGTTTTGTCCAGGTGAGGAGGCAGTGTACTTGGCTAATACTGACTTAATGTGTGTGTGTGTGTGTGTGTGTGTGTGTTTGTGTGTGTGTGTGTGTGTACGTGTGTGTGTGTTCATGTGGGATATACAAATATAGATATTTTTATTTACATCCTGATATCAAAATAATGTTAGCTGGTACAGGTAGATAAGCAATGGTAATGACACACACACACACACACACACACACACACACCTACACACACACACACAAACAAACCCACCCACATCCACCTACACCCCACATACCAGGAAGCCAGAGGTGTTATCCAGTAAACACTCCAAATCGACGGTGAAATTCCTTCCAATGCAGTCTGGTCCCCATGAAGGCCTCCCTTGCAGGGGTAAGCTGTGACTGGTCCGATGGAGGTGCGAGTTCCACATAAGTTGGGTTCTCTGTAGCTCCTTCCTCTGCTCCTTGAGTGGACCAACTCGTATACACTCTGATGAACGATGTCACTTCGTAGCGTGGAGAGAAAGTGAGAAATATTCAGGTGTTCTGTAGGTTTTGCAGAGGGGGGGTTATAATAGTAATTGCTGAGGATTTGTAGGGTTTTTGTAGAGCACATTATACATTCTGTAGAGTTATTTAGTGATTCGTTGAGCTCTTAGGTTAATTTATTAATTTATTTGATATCACTCTATTGGAGAGAGAGAGGAGAGAGAGAGAGAGAGAGAGAGAGAGAGAGAGAGAGAGAGAGAGAGAGAGAGAGAGAGAGAGAGAGAGAGAGTTTCGAAAACCTCTATGAGAAAATTACTTACTTACTTACTTACTTACTTACTTACTTACTTACGCTCTCGATCGACTTAATATCTATAATTGGTTTCACAGAGCATTAAATGACTCGTTCAAAGTGACAAATACCATGTTTGTTATCACCCTACTGTGTGATTTACGGCCTAATATATCCTGGTTAATGTTAAGGTACATATGTATATTGCAATTGAGGATGAAATCGATTTAAACTGGAAATAATCTTGTTTTTGTTAAGGGGGGGGGATTAAAATGGGTATTAGCTTGTTTTTGTTGTTGTTTTGTCTTTGTTTTGTTTTAGTTTGTTCAATAACTACTACTACTACTACTACTACTACTACTACTACTACTACCAATACTACTACTAACAATTACTACAACTACTCTAACAACAACTACTACTACCACTACTACTACTACTATTACTACTAATACTACTACTTCACCAACTACTACACCTACTACCACAAAAACAATACCAATTTAACCCTTTCAAACTCCATCACAGCCGAAATAAAATCTCTCATTGCAGGTATGATGACGCGAGTCGTGATACCTGGCTACCTAAAAAAAACCCATCCAATTCTTACCTGCCGATCCCATCTTACCTGGCCGGGTCCACCACCAACTACACACTCCCTCTAATGCACATATCACTTTGCCTCACCTGACCACTAACGACGATCTTACTGTCGGGGGGGTGGGGGGGGTTGAGGGAGGGGTGGGGTTGGGGTGAGGGGAAAAGTAATCATTACCCGTCATATCAGAGGTCACTTACATCCTGTTCCGTAATATCTTTATCCTCTTCTATCCATCTCCCCCACTTCTTTTTATTCCTCTATAATCTCCCCTTCTCCAATTCTTCCCGACTTTCATCCTCCATACCCTATCCATATCCCTCCCCCACCACATCTGCGGCCTTTACTCTATCTCTCTTCCCCCATCACATCCAATCCCTCTCCCCTCCGCCACCGCCACCGCCTCCCCCTCCCTCCTCCTCCCACAGTCACTTCTGTAGGAGGGGGCTGGTGGACGGTCGGAGGTCAGATGAGCCCCCAGTCCTACTAAAACCCCAAGCTAACTTAATCTATCTCTTAGAACTGGGGATTATTTGGGCTCTAAAACCCCCCAGTTGTTAGGTTACGTTACGTTAGGTTAGGTTAGATTAGGTTAGGGAGACAAACTACCGCTATGCAAATTTACTAGAAGATAAAAAAGTTACTTAATGTCTGAACAAAAAAAAACCAGTGATGTTCCATGTATCTCGTCGACACTTGGGGACGAATTTTATGTCTTACAACGACGGGCTAACTGAGAACTTCACCCCGGCTGCCGGATGCGCCTCCTTGGTTTAGGCGTGACAGAGACCGTGGGCGTGGGTGCGGGCGTGGGCGTGGAGATCGTACATCAGTGTATTTTAGTAACATTATGCACGCCCAGCCCCTTGATGTCATGCTTCTGATCATCTGGAAATCATGTTCTTCCGTTTGTGAGTTGTTATTAGCAAATGATATCCTGGAGGCTGCACGACACGGGGTCCCTAAGGGTGTGCGTGGAACCTCTCCTGTTTGGCTGTGCATTATTATTAGTAATATTATTATTATTATTATTATTATTATTATTATTATTATTATTATTATTATTATTATTATTTATTTGTATTTTATTTAATCTTTTGTCATTCTAGGTTATCCATCTACTTATAGATCAGCCAACATTGTTTTATTAAGTTTCTCCCCAATAAAGGCTTCATACACTAAGACAGTTCACCTTACCTCTCATTCTATGTCACTTAAAAGAGATACGAACCCGAGCAGCATAACTCCAGGTGTCGATAGCCTTTACCACTCAGCCAGCCAGAGATAAAACACCTATATACCTACACTATCTTGATTCATAGGTAAAATAATTAATGTCATTCTCTCTCTCTCTCTCTCTCTCTCTCTCTCTCTCTCTCTCTCTCTCTCTCTCTACATTTTTATTGAAGCTACGCCAGGCACTCGTTCTCTCGTCTTTTCCTCCACTGGCGAACTCACAGAGGTGTTTCAGAATAATGGGACGTCTTTCACCTGTGTTTGCCTAGGAGTAATATATACGCCTCGTCTTATCTTACTGATGGATGTTTTTTTTTCCTTCCGTAAATGAGGGATGGTTTTATTCTTCTACTCTCAAGCGCCATTAGATCGTTCTCCCACCTTGTTAATGGGTCTTACACAGTCTTACACAGTCTTACATATTCTTACACAGTCTTACATATTCTTACACAGTTTTACACAATCTTACAGTCTAACAGTCTTACACAGTCTTACACATCCTCACAGTCTTACACGTCGAGTACATCAGATAACTTCCTGTGAGTCATATAAATCATTCTTTATCGGCGTCTCTATTTAATTGTTTTGTTCATTATAGTCAACTATCTCTATTTCTCTCTCTCTATCTCGATTTCTATCTCTTTCTCTCTATCTCTAATCCTCTCTCTATGTCTATAACTATCTCTATTCCTCTCTCTCTATCTCTAGATCTCTCTCTATCTCTATTTCTATCTCTTTCTCTCTATCTCTAATCCTCTCTCTATGTCTATAACTATCTCTATTCCTATCTCTCTCTCTCTCTGTATCTCTAGTCCTCTCTCTATCTCTATTCTTATCTCTATCTCTCTAACTATCTCTATTTCTATTCCTCTCTCTCTCTCTCTCTCTCTCTCTCTCTCTCTCTCTCTCTCTCTCTCTCTCTCTGTATCTCTAGTCCTCTCTCTATCTCTATTCTTATCTCTCTCTATCTCTATTTCTATCTCTATCTCAGCCTATCTCTATGTTCTTACAATCACCATAGAGAGATTTACATACTTACATACTTACATACATACATACATACCTTACATACATACATACATACATACAGTACATACTCTCCCACACCACCCCTGTACATTGGACTCATCAACTCACCAACACACCGACAGACTCTCATCAATTCACCAACACCAAACAGACTCATCAATTCACCAACACACCGACAGACTCATCAATTCACCAACACACCGACAGACTCATCAACTCACCAACACACCGACAGACTCATCAACTCACCAACACACCGACAGACTCATCAATTCACCAACACACCGACAGACTCATCAATTCACCAACACACCGACAGACTCATCAATTCACCAACACACCGACAGATTCATCAATTCACCAACACACCGACAGACTCATCAACTCACCAACACACCGACAGACTCATCAACTCACCAACACACCGACAGAATCATCAACTCACCAACACACCGACAGACTCATCAACTCACCAACACACCGACAGACTCATCAACTCACCAACACGCAAACAGACTCATCAATTCACCAACACACCGACAGAATCGTCAACTCACCAACACGCAAACAGAATCATCAACTCACCAACTTACACCGACAGACTCATCAACTCACCAACAGAATCATCAACTCACCAACACACCGACAGACTCATCAACTCACCAACACACCGACAGACTCATCAACTCCACCCAACACACCGATGATTCAATAACGACCGGGAAGTGGTAGACCAATTGGGAAATAACCAAATTAAGAATTAACCATTCGTTCCATCACCGTCCCCAAACCCTCCGCTGATTGACACCGGAATCTATACTTACCTGCACAAAAAAATAATTCACGAAAAGAACCGGTTTTCTCAGGTGTTAATGGTGAGAAGTGCTAGCAGGACAGTGTGTGTGTGTGTGTGTGTGTGTGTGTGTGTGTGTGTGTGTGTGTGTGTGTGTGTGTGTTAGTAGCGTTGTTTTTCTTTTATGTTGTTATTGTGGAGGAAGGAGGAAGAGTAGGGAGGGGGGGGGAGGTGAGAGGGTAGAGAGGAGTAGGGAGGAGGGGGAAGGGGAAGCTAATCATCAGAATTCTTTTATGAGGTGGGGGATTCTCTCTCTCTCTCTCTCTCTCTCTCTCTCTCTCTCTCTCTCTCTCTCTCTCTCTCTCTCTCTCTCTCTCTGGTTATGCAGACAGGTGTATTGATGTTCAAAGTGCGTTTGCCATACAAGTGCGTCCCTTGTTCTGATGTTTTGGAGACTAGGTGTTATCGCGGGCCTATCAGCAGGTGTGTGTGTGGGGGGAGGGAGGGAGTATCCTTCTCTTATCAGCGCCAGAGTGGGTAATGAAGCCCTTGTAGTGTGTGTGTGTTGTGTGTGTGTGTGTGTGTGTGTGTGTGCGTGTGCGTGTGTGTGCGTGTGTGTGTGTGTGTGTGTGTGTGTGTGTGTGTGTGTGTGTTCGTATTTAAAATTTATGATATTTTATTCATATATTTATAAAAGTTTTAATATAAAGGAAATTTTATCATTTGTTTAAGAAAAAAAATATCCTTTATATTAAAAAAAACGATAAAATAAATCATAAATTCTTTCATATTTCAATTACATGATTTTCAAACTTTCAAAAAATATATCGTTCACTCACATTAGTACTTTTTAAAACTTCCCCCCCCCCCCAAAAAAATATGTATATGTTTGAAGATGTTTGGAAGAAAGTAACTCAAAAGGTTTGGTTTGGTTAGGTTAAGTTGGCTGGAAGAGAGTCCGTCATAAAGAGGTAGTTTAGTCTGGCCATTACCACACCTAAGTCAACTTGTTCACACACACATTTATGAAACTTTAAACACACTCATTTACATACACACACACCCACAC